GTGGGAGGAACCAGATGATAATGAGACCCAGCATGCCAGATGTTTGAATTATTCAGGAAATTAAAAATGTGGATTTCTTCCTCAAATATTGGAGAATTCTCAAATTTAAATGCTAGACAGTAATTTTTTTTAAAGTAAACAATGGGCAGCCAAGAAGTGACAGTGGCTTACGTGTACAGTGTCTGTGGGCTAGAGGTGGCTTGTATAATCGACTCACTGCCTCTGATCCGTGTTACGTAGCGAAGATCATGTACCTACGGGATCCCAGGTTACAGAATGTGTTTTGGTGTTGAATTAGCTTTTAGTTAGAGAATAAGGGACTCCTGCTTTCTCTTTATTATTATTTTTTCAATTTTAATTTTTTTTTGTTTTTTTGAGACAGGGTTTCTCTGTGTAGTCCTGGCTGTCTTGGAACTCACTCGATAGACCAGGCTGGCCTCGAACTCAGAAATCCGCCTGCCTCTGATTCTCAAGTGCTGGGATTAAAGGCGTGCGCTACCACCGCCTGGCTGCTGCTTTCTCTTTAGCTGTAAAGAAATCATTGAAGTTTTATTAGTGAGAACATACACTAATGCTAACTTAGTAGATCTATCTGCCGTAGAGCGTTTGACCAAGCCCCGCAATCAAATTTTAGTATTTAACTGATTACCGTTCCACATGACAGTTATTTGGATGTGAATATAATGTTAGCATTTTATTGGACAAATCTGTGACTTTTTACTAGCAGCTCAGTCCATTGGCAAATTGTCCCCTAGCACAGTGTTAGAAGCTATAAGAACCACTCATTGGAGGGCATTGTTCCGTATCCCAGTGATTATTGCTATTCTTTTAGCTGAAGCTCATTTTCCACACAGTTCATGCAGTTAAGTTCAGTGACTGTATTTCCATCAGCTTATCCCATATCAGGGAGTTTATTTCTCTTGTGTCCTTTCGATGTGTCTGTCATCCCTGCTCATCTGATAGCCACGAATCTCATTTCTACCAGGTGGAGGTTAATTTTGCCTACTCCGGAATTCCACACAAACATACATATAATCACTTACATTGCCTTTGTAAATGCCTCTTGCTTCTTTGACTTGGCTTTGTGTGCGTGCGAGTTCCCACATTACTTTGGTAACCGTGTTTACTCATGATTATCCGAATTCGCTGAACTGCTTGAGAAGTATCACGTTGTGTGAGCAGAACACAAGGGCATATACATCCATCCCCTTTGTGAGAGACACTTTTATTTATTCTTTTTTTGTTCTTGTCCATTAAGACCCAGGCTGGTAAAAATATCTGCGTAGAAAATGTTTGCACGAATACCGTGCTTTTACCTCCTGTCAATCTACAGAGTGAATTTGCTACTTACCAGGAGTGTAGTTTTAACCTTGCATTGGATGAACCATTAAGCTACTTCGTTTTTTTATTCCATCATCAATATATGGAAATCTGGTTTTTCCCTTTCCCTGGTTGACACTATTGCCAGTCCTTAACTCTAGCCCTGTGCCAGGTACAAGACGTATCTCACAGGGTCACTAACTTACACTTTACTGAGGATGATTAGCCTTGACTATTTCTCACAAGCTAACTAACAATTTTGCATGTGTGTTTATGGTGTATGTTAAGCTGGTTAATCCATTCTTATGTCTTCTTCTTCCTTTTCTTATGTCTTTTTCTTCTTATGTCTTCTTATGTTGTCTTCTTCTTCTTCTTCTTCTTCTTCTTCTTCTTCTTCTTCTTCTTC